CGTTTCCAAAACTCGATTCTAATGTGGCATAGTGCGGAATATAGGGCGGAAACAGTTTAATTGCAAGTTTTTTCACCAGAAAGCAATTCATCCGCATTTGATATACTGCTTCTGAAAAGACAACATTGTATTACCTAATTTGTAATTTTGAAACTCGATATATTTGGTTATCTTACTCAATATGTTTTGTACGTATTACTAGCAAGGTTATGCCACACACGAGCAGAAGATATGTTTTATGTATGCATTCATGTAAATGTGAATTAGTGTTCCTAGATGACGTAATACATATTAGCTAAATATGTTTCGCTCAATAAGCAACGATTTTCCAAAAACACACAAGTTTAATAAGAGTTTATGGAAAAGGTATATTTGATATGGTGTTACCATTCAGAGGCAGTAAATGAACCACTTGTACCAATAGTACATCAGAAGACGTATAGGAGGCATTCTCGGGGACAGAACATATTGTGATGCAATCTATTTCAAGCAGTTCGTTATTCAATGCAATGTACCTCAGTAGTTGAATATGCCCTTGAAGTTGAATATAAAAATAATGTTACATTATAACGTTAATAGCATTGAGTTTAGTGAATTTCTAACAAGAAACAAATCTCTGCTTTAAATCGAGAGAATGTATCATTTGTTTTTTGTTTTCTTGCTTGTTTGGGTTGCCCCATGATTCGTCGATCACATAATTGAAAACACCTTCATATAATATAATGAAAAACAGTAGACAGAATAGAGTATATACAATTTACAAGGATGAAAACACATGAAGGTACAACTGACACCATGCACCAACTGCTGTGTTGGTGGATTTCATGCGGATCATAGAACACGCATTAGAGGGATGTTTACATTTATTTTTTGAAACAATTTCAAGTTGCATCCTTGGAACCACTTGCTGGATTTTCAAATCGTTTGACAAAAGGAGTGTACGGTCGGGAAGTGGAACCTCAGACCCCATCATCGATCATTTTCACCATTATAGACCAAATAGCGACTTTGTATATCCCACCAGAGACCAAATTGTCACTAAATATATGCAGTTATAGGTTGAATTTACTCATCACCCGGGCTCATCAATAAAAGTACTAAAACTCGTGCGAATACATGGAAAAAAAAAAAAAAAAAAAAAACCAACCCCGGTCCCATTCTAGTGAGGCAAACCTAATATTGGAACAGAAGGCAAGCAAATCTATACCCCATTCTCGACCAAACAGCTAAAAATTACGACCCCAATTGGTGGAACGTCCCCATAATAAGATTTGCATTAAGTGACCCCGGGGAAACAACCTCCACGCGTTCATTAACCTTTTAAAAATAGTCAGCGTGCTTCATCGTTATTGCAGTTAATACATTTCTGCTGTACGTATAATGGATATAACAATTAATATTGAATCAGAGCATGCGTAGTAGATGGCTCCTACTCCAGGTATGATTCGAACTTAATAACTTCCTATTAGGCTGAATACTCCCGTGATGTATCTCGTATACCTTTAAGGAATCTTTCATCATTTTCAAAACAGTAAACACAGATACGTTCGTATTATCTTATTTTAATAGTAATGTAATATATACGGAATCAATTGTGACGTAATGCCGCCCCCTAGTGTCAAACGTGAGCCAGCATGATAGCAACGACAGAGGCGCTTACATGAATTGTGAGGTTCACAGACAAATGTTTCGTAGCTGTTTGATATGTTACTGAGTTTGTCCTCAGTTTGAAGGTAATAATAAATATGTACAAATATAAGCCTCACATTATAAAAAATGTAAAAACACTGAATTGAAATATACGCAGAATCTACACTACACATGTCAGTAAAAACATAATATATTCGCTGAAACCGACATTCCCATGATTGCTCAGTTACTTGTTTATATTTAATGAACAGTGGATGTTATCAATATGAACTAGTATTGTAGAAACCGTATTACAATACTGTCTTTATTTGAAACGGAATATAGTACAACACTAAAATATAAGTTTTATCACATAGAGGGACTGTGGTTTTATGAACAGTTTTATGAAATTTATTGGATTTCACGGTTCTTACAAAAATACTATCTCATGACGATGTTTATGATTTGCTGCAGAGAATTATCTTCTTAAAAGCTCGCCTAAATTCATTGTTGAACACTGTGTATATGATGGGGTTCATCGTACTATTAATGTACCCCAGAAACAGAGCTCTGGATGACGTATGAGGCGCTGTACAAGTAGGACATACACCAAACAAGATGTTCAGGGTGAAGAATGGAATCCAACAGATCAAAAAGACACCTATAAAACAAGAAAACGGTATTACAATCAAAATAATTTAAAGAACAGTAGTGCGTATTTTGTTAAAAAGTATACACCATTAATAAGTATCAATTAAACACGGACACAAATCACACGATATTACCACTTGTTTTTATGAACCTAACTCGCTTTCTAACATGATGGTTGAAGCATTTCCACCAATCAGATATCATCCGTGTACTTTTCCGGATTATATAATTTACATAATATGTTAATGCAGTAGACGTGTGTAGGTGTCGGGGTCGTCTATAAAATTCCCAAAATATTTGTTACGTAATACGTTAATGCAGGAGACGTGTGTAGGTGTCGGGAACGTCTATAAAATTCCCAAAATATTTGTTACGTAATACATTAATGAAGTAGACGTGTGTAGGTGTTGGGGGTCGTCTATAAAATTCCCAAAATATTTGTTACGTAATACATTAATGAAGTAGACGTGTGTAGGTGTCGGGGTCGTCTATAAAATTCCCAAAATATTTGTTACGTAATACGTTAATGCAGGAGACGTGTGTAGGTGTCGGGAACGTCTATAAAATTCCCAAAATATTTGTTACGTAATACATTAATGAAGTAGACGTGTGTAGGTGTTGGGGGTCGTCTATAAAATTCCCAAAATATTTGTTACGTAATACATTAATGAAGTAGACGTGTGTAGGTGTTGGGGTCGTCTATAAAATTCCCAAAATATTTGTTACGTAATTCGTCAATGCAGTAGACGTGTGTAGGTGTCGGGGTCGTCTATAAAATTCCCCAAATATTTGTTACGTAATACATTAATGCAGTAGACGTGTGTAGGTGTCGGGGTCGTCTAAAAACATCCAAAAATATTTGTTACGTAATACGTTAATGCAGTAGACGTGTATAGGTGTCGGGGTCGTCTATAAAATTCCCAAAATATTTGTTACGTAATACGTTAATGCAGTAGACGTGTGTAGATGTCAGGGACGTCTATAAAATTCACAAAATATTTGTTACGTAATACGTTAATCAGTAGACGTGTGTAGGTGTCGGGGACGTCTATAAAATTCCTAAAATATTTGTTACGTAATACGTTAATGCAGTAGACGTGTGTAGGTGTCGGGGTTCTCTATAAAATTTCTAAAATATTTGTTACGTAATACGTTAATGCAGTAGACGTGTGTAGGTGTCGGGGTTCTCTATAAAATTTCTAAAATATTTGTTACGTAATACGTTAATGCAGTAGATGTGTGTAGGTGTCGGGGACGTCCATAAAATTACCAAAAAAGTGGTGGGCGTTTTGATATGACATTGGCCGAGTTTTATGCATTAATCTGTGTTTTATTTAAGGTACGAAGGTGTCGCCACAAGAATGTCATCAAGACCAAATAGCTCATCTTTCTTGAAAATATTGAAATGATTTTGGTTCAAGATAGTATCAGCATCGACATGTGTATATATCAAATATTTTCTCAGAAAAGATGATATCTTCATTCCCGTCAAGATCCTCCATAGATCACTTCTTGTCAGCCATTTTAAGTTCACATTATTTTAGGATGAATCCATCTTCTGGTTCTACAATTGCATTTTGGTTGAAAAAGACAATTTAGAACATATGTTGACTCATTAATGTATTTCAATGTACATTGTATATCATATACTAACCTAATACTATGGCCAGAGTTTTCGTCGCTTTTCTTTCTCTCCTCATTGAAAATTTATTTGGTTTCACATTAGGGAAAGTCGACCTTGAATGTTGTCGACCTAACGCATTTTGTGGTCTCTGTAAGGTAGCGTTACCTCCAGTGCCGTCCGTATTATTCTGTATCTGCCCAGTTGGATCAGGTTCATGAACAGTGTCCTGGGTTGGTTCGTCCGATTGAGGCAAATCAGATACTTCTGTTCTATTATGTTTAGCCATTGTAGTACCTCCGATTCCTATCCTTGTAACACGATTTTTAATAGCCACGTACACGAGTATATATACTATAGACATTATGAAGGCTGGGATGACGAATGAAAACACCGAACTCCATACCATGTACGGCCCGTTAAACAAGATACATAGTTCAGGAACACGATTTGGTACATTATTGACACCGAACAGAACTGGACACGATATTATAAATGATATCATCCAGACAATTGCTATGGTAACGAGAGCGCGCTGAGTTGAACGTTGTCTGGCATACTGCAGTGGTTTGGACACAGCATATAGTCTGCGATTGAGAAAATAATAATAATAATAATAATAATAACAATAATTAAAACATACACTTTATGCTATGAACATTTAAATGGCGATATATGGGTCTCATATAAACAAATCTGGCGACTGTTGCGCAAATCAACGAGTACGAACTGAGACTTTACCAAGCTTTAATTAGTTTTTTTTTATATAGATGATTGGAAGATTTCGAAAGAGTCACCGGCAGTAATTAGTGCAAGTCGCGCCTAGGTCAAACCTCATACTTGTGATTTCCATTAGAAGAGCGCATTGGATTGTGGGAAAAGCATCGCATCGCATCGCAGTGCGCCGACCACCGCCCTTTAACTGTCAGTTTGAAAACTGACCGAGTTCTACGTGCCACGGTCAAAACGTCAACAAAATTCAGGTCAGCGTTGCATGTGTGCCTTAAACAAAAGAAGCAAATACAATTCATACGTGGTTGTATGAACAATATCATTCCTTATGATATTTTGGGAACGTGATTTTCCCCTGACAATTATTGTCGATCACATTCCAGGAAAATTGATCGAAGTTCATTTCCAAGACGGCTAGTCACATCGTTCGCGGAATACAATTTTTCATTCATGGACACTACTTGATTCAAAGAAATAATTTAGCAGTACAGCGCAGAATATAATTATGTTACGTAGACTACTTACCGATCAAGACTAATTGCACATAGGTTGAAGATGGATGCGGTGCAAGACATAACATCCATAGTTACCCAGAAGTCACACAGTGTATGGCCCAGATACCAAAACCCGCCATTTATCTAAAGTTAGAAAGATATATATATATATATATAACGTTTGAGATAAACCGGAATTACCAACAATGCACCGCGATGACAGCGGCAATGCCATTCCATAAAAAACAGTCTCAACAAGAAGCAGATATTCTTGCTCAGTGAAGACCAACAATACAAATACCACAAAACATCATTTTAAAAATATTAGATTATGTTTTCATTGAGGAAGCAACAGCCTGGTCGTCTTACTAGTTTTGGGGTTCAGAATAGACAAGCTAACATAACACAATTCAGAGCGGTTTGTACGTGTGTGCGTATCAATGTCGTATGAAGAACGTTTGGATGACATTCTTTTTTTATAAATGATTTTTAACAATTGAACAGTTCACGTGATTTCTCCGTGACAATCACAATACACTTTTTTTTTAAATGTGACGCCTTGTTGACACCTACGACGGCAATATACAGTTTTTGTGATATTTTTAATAGATCAAGAGCTAGTTTCACAGATGAACTTAAATCATATTCGCCCTTGAATCTATTAAAGAGATGTGTAATCTTTTTTGACACGAACATTGTCTCGCAAAACGAGAACTTTACAACAGACGATGTTCAAGTTCAAATATTGCAATGGATAAATACTAAGTAATTTAAACACGTGTATTCTTTCACATAAGGTATAGTGATTGAAGGTGATTTCAATCAGTGTGCGAAAAAAATGTGTCTTCCATTTTGTGGCATTGCAAACTTACATTTAGGGAGATAGAAGAGTACGTCGTAATGAAAGATTACATTTGCTATGAGCGTGTTTATAAATAACCATGGAACCTATATATATATAGCTAAAGGTAAATCGCTTTATATGAATTCTTCTAAAATGCACATGTAATGAACAGAGTATTATTTACAGGTCATTAATGTTAACGTGTACAGATGAAATTTATTAAATTCTTATGTACAGACTTATAATTCCAGTCAATATGCCCATCCATGTATTAGTTTTATTGTACCAAATTAAGGTACCCGCGGGCAGGCCAGCGGCTCAATTTTCTTCGTAAATGTATAAATAATGTACTCATATCTTCCCTGCAATTCATTTTTCATGTACCGTCTCAGTATTTTCGCTCGTAATTTAAAAATGTCTTTTATACCACGTGTTTGATAGTAAGACAAACTAATACAAGGTTTTCCACAAAATGGGATAATTTATATTCAAATACATCACATAGCCAAGATAACGTCGAGGATAATATGGAAGGTATGATGTACGAGGACATACATTTCTGTATATTGTTTTTTGAACACATGTTACGTAGAAAAGTTCTGTCGAAGTATCGTTTTCCCCCAATCACTATTGTGAAGTGGCGTGTTCTAAGTTTGCATAATCGAACACGCCACGTGCGAACACTCCACTGACACAAATTGTTTCGTTCGCCACTCTCTCATACTTTTCTTTACACTAAAAGGTATGTATACAGCCGCCGAATACTTTCAATAATGGCATTACATGTAGTGCCTATGGGGAAAAACGACCAACTTCAAGTTCAGTGGGCGGTACACCCAGGGTGGGGTGGGGTAGCGTTGACAAAGGTTTGCAGTCCGAACTCAAAACACCGACACTGTTCCAGGGAAATGTTGTACTGCAAACATGACGAAAGATCACTATTAGACCCCTTTTGTAAAAATGATAAGATTTTCATGACGATTTTAGGCAGTTTGTGGATAAAGTTTATGCAATATCCGGAAATGTGTATCTAAACGTGGCCAGACACGCATACTATTTCAGTTGATTAAAATAGGATACACGTTCAGGGTGTTTTTCAGTACTTTCGTACTCTCATGTACTGTAAGATACCCAAGGAACTTTGATTAGTAATCAGAAAATGCGTGTATCAGACGGCATTATAGTGTACAGTGGAGTTTGTATTTAACTCCTGCCTCTGATTATTTAGATGACTGAACAGAGTCATAGACTGATGTTCATAATTTAATACAGTAATGAAGAAACTATCCCAGATTGGAGTGAAAATGGATTACACTGAAAGAATGCTCCATGCAAATGTCAGATAGGACATATTTAGCACCAATAATTATTCCACGTCGCAATGAATACAATTTTATATAAGAATACAGACTGGGAAGTAAATATATTAATTCGGTATGTTTGTCACACAATTTGCCATTTACAGCCCCCAAATAATCTAATGAATAGGATGTTTACAATTTAAGGACGTCTGCCAATCATATACTGAGATATGAAAAAGGGTCTTATGCATGTATTTACAATTTTAGCTGGTGCATTATCAAGGGGCACAATAAAAATAGCTTAAGTCATATTTATTGCATTTGGACCATTGTGGATTACTCCGTGGGATAGATTGGATTATATTTCACTCACTTTGGATAATTGAATATATCCCAACGGATGTGCCCTACTGCTTTGATTTAATCCTATTTGATATTCCAGGTCTTAGTAGATAAACTGTACAGTGAATTTTGCAATACAAAACAGAGAATACAATATATTCATTTGAATATAATGTATGGATTAATTTAGGTAAAATGCACATAGATGAAGAAGTCCCTTTGTTGTATTTTATATAATGTACTATATATATTAAAGTACAATTCAACTTCTTGATAATGATTGTCAAAAAACTCGGATGATGATCATGATGATGGCAAAACGAGACAAAGTACCAATATTATTTAACTTTTTGAAAAATGATTTAATCTATAGACAATGACGTCATATAACTAAGTTGGGCCCAGTGTGATGTAAATAATATCTCGGAATTATTATGTTTATGGAGTTATAACGATGATCAGTGCAATCGCCATGACAACTGTCAAGCGGAATGGTACATTAAATTTGCCGTTCATTTTCTCATGAAATGTAATTATACATAGAGTCCATGCGGTATTAGGCATATTTCATGAATCGTTAGGAAATGTTCTGATCAAACACCCTGCATCTACAATTTTAGTAAACAACGCTAACTTGCTCTATTATCTACAGCATAGATGTGTTTAAATACGATATCATTTAAATACGATATCATATTTCCCTCTCCTGAGAATTAAATGACGTTCTCTCACTATACAGATATATATGCTGTGCTTGAATGATTTAATTACAAGTAGTGAAAATTCCGATTTACTTTCCAAAGAAAATTACTCGGTGAAAAATTAAAATGACTGTGAAGAGGTTAGGATGAGTCATGGATACGCCAATATAACATTACACTCGTCTAACATATTTTGATACAGAGTGACAGTTTAATAATAATGAACAATTTACAAACAAGTTTCAAGAATGCAATCAGTGAACGCATCGCACAGCCCTTATACAACTTCTCAAAATGCACGTGGCTTTTGTTATATTGAATAGACGCATATATATCATCGCTTTTCACAGATCGTTAAACAGTCTGAAAATAGTAGCAATTTCATTCGTCTGTAGTGAAGATGGTTATACGATTTCCCCACGTTAAGCGCTGATCACATTCTTTACAAGTGATGTGTGAATGTGTTCTTCTTCCCAGGTAGAGGTAATCACATCAAATAAGAAATAATCACGATAGCTGCTTTGTAACTGATATAATTTACCGGCAAATTCCGATTAATTTGCATATATATATATATATACGTTTAATTAGATTGAAGACTGAAGGTTAACAAGCAGATTGTTGTTACTTGGAAACATATCCGTAATTGTGGAAATCTATGATATAGGAGAGAATACATGAATACATACAATGTTACACTCACTGGACTACGCTAGGGAAAAAAGGCTAGTTACTTTCACTGTGCACGGACAGTGGAAGGCGCTCCCAACTTTCTCGTGGATCGAAAATGTGTTAACATGTGTTGAGAGGAGTTTGATAATAAGTTCTAAAAAAAATAGAATTTCTGAACAGGGGGTAAAATATATATTTTACATACAATTGAAAAACAATATTCTATTATGTCGTAAATGATGAAAAAGAAATTGTAGATGGTGTCAACCATCAAAACAAAGCGGTCTGTTCAACAGTGTACACTGGTAAATGACATAAACAGACTGGGTTATAGTTTTGTTTCAATCACATTCACTGTTTCATCGCATGTATTCAAATACAATTAAATTATTGCCAACGGTAATAATAATACTTTTATAAATATTACACGCATACATGTCTTTGGCACGTGTGTGTGTTTTATAGAATATTCTTTACAGTAAACTGGAATCATTAGTGTTACTTCATATGTGGTTGCAATAGATTTTAATGAATTGCTTCGGCAGTGTGTTTGCAGTGAACTGTGACATAAGCGGCCTTTTATGTAACACACCCGCAGCGTTTTGCCAAATGGTGCGTGATGAAATGTATCTGTAATTGGTTACCTTAAATGTAAGGTTATCGCTGATCAAATGTTAAATCATCTTATATAGTCTTAGCAAACACGTATCGTATGTTTCAAGTATTAATCGGGCATGGCTTGGACTCACTTCATTGGGAACGTGCATATATACATATATAGAATTGTAAATTAGAAACTAACATTACCTATACATGTATATATCATATCTGTTTCATATTTCACCCAATTTATTCTGATTAACGCATTGAATGTAAGATTTAAATTTTCGAAATTAAAAAATCCAAATATAATTTTACAATAAGAATGTATAATATAACTCAGACAGTACGCCGTCGCATCGACCTCCTCTGCGCGTCGATCGAACTGCCGCTGTACTCTTCGTGCATACTTTGACGTATCCTCGTAATAACCTTATTATTATACATCTTTTCCTTCCAATGATACATCATGGGAATGCCGAAATTCAAAAAGTTTAGAACAGAATCAGCGAACTTATTTGTGTGGAGTCCGGTCAAACCCTGGCCGCAGCCATGTTTGTTTTCATTATTGAAGGACACTTACGCGCGTAATCATTCTATATTTGGAATTCGCATTTCCTTATATGGTAGGATGAAAATACCCCGTAAAATATCGCAAAATTACAACGCGCTGTAACTTATGCG